CTTTTTCTCTAATTTTGGTCTGCAAACTTAGGTTGTTAACCATCCAGAAGACAAGCTTATTGTTATTATCAAACGATTTAGGCTTTTAAGCTTAACCTCACTATCTCACTGCATTTCAAACATCTTAGGCATGATAAGGAACAGGTATTTTTCATCAAGTATTGATATGTTGAACTTTGAGTCCCTGCATAATATGATAAAAACATCATGGGGAAGTTGTTAATGATCGATTGTATCTCTTTAATAGACACTGAAATATCTAGATTTTCTGTTTCCTTTTCTCTGATAGTTGAATAAATTATGTTCTTCAAGAAGTTTGTTTCAGGCTGGGGAGATATCTCTGTGGCATGAGCACCTGCCTGGCAAGTGCAAGGTCCCGAGTTCAATCCCAGGTACTGCATGCCATGCCGGGCATGCTGAGCCAGCCACTGATACTGGGTATGGTGGCATGTGCCTGTTGTCGCAGTGCTGGGGTGGCTGAGGCAGCAGGATCACTACAAGTTCAAGCTGTGTAGCGAGGCCCTGCATCATAAGAAAAAAAAATTATTTCTTCCAAGCTGACAAAATTAGAGAAGTAAATTTGCAACATTCCTCTGTTGATCTTGGAATGGAAGAGTACAGTGGAGAAATAAATGCCCAAATACATGCAGGAGAAGGCAGGGTCTAAACTTGGGACTCCATACAAGCTTTTATTTGCTCAGTGTCAGTTCAAGTAGCCCCTTCCCTGAGAAGTCTTCCCCGATGTACCCCTTTGTCTTCTAAGCTAAATATCCACCCCAGATATCTATAGTGGGCTTCCAGTTACACGTGCTACTGGGCCTGTTGTTCAGCACTGCACTTAGGGATCTGCAGCAACCAGCCACTGAGACTTTGGATTCTTCGTGGGCTGATTCCCTCACTCTGATTCCTGAGATTCCCTGCACTCTGTGGTGCCACCCTGGGCCTAGCAGAGTGAAGATCACAGCCTATTGATACATCCATCATTGATCTGTTACTACATCCATCCATCCCCTCTCCACTGACTGACACCAAGCCCCTAAGTTATGTTGGGCATGGTGCTAGGTGAGGCAACACAAAAGAGCACAGGTGGAACACACCGGGGTGTGCTTTTCACGGACCTGCCATTGTAGTTGGAGAGACAGAGCAGACAAAGAACGTAGGCTGCCCCAATGTTTACAGGTTATGATTTGACAGGGTTTCTAAACTATTTTTCATGGAACACAAGTTGGGTAGAATTTGAAGGGATATTTAGATCTATGGACAAATATATTCTGAAAACCCTGGGTGAAACAGAAATAAATAAATGTGATTGCATGATTTGTGAGAGACTTCAATGTATATTTATGAATTTTTAAGGAAGAACAGTTGTTGGCAACTTGCTTGGCTTTAGAATTTCCTTGGGAAAACCTCATGTGGCCTTTGATGACAAAACAAAGTACCCAACACAGATATTACGTACGGCCACCTTCTGGGCCCCATGCAGCTCACACACCAGCCAGTGGTTCTATCCATGTAGGGTGTCCCTGTGTGCTTTTCTAAGCATGGAGTGACAGCTCCTTTTATGCTAGCACCACACCAGTAGTCTGCTTAGGGAATACCTATTTCCACCTAACCGATCCATTTGGAAGTGACATGTGGCTGCTCCATAAACAAAGCTGGGCCTTGTTAGCTGGGTCAGGTCCAGATAAGCCCCAAATCCAGCTGAGGAATTTGACTCAAATACAAAAGAAGCTTCCAGTACAGGCAAGAAGGCAACCCTTTCCTCCCCTGTGCTAAGTCACCCTTAAGTGCTGCTTAGGAAGATGTCGAAGGCTTCTATCTTTGACTGCTTCTCCAGAAGGACTTGCGACAAGGCTCTGATTGTGAAGTTTCTTGGAGGTTGGGGGAGAATGGAGGTAACACGAGTGTGAGAATAAAGAGGGCTCCTCTGGGACACCAGGGTCTTAACCATACTGGGTACCTCTAGGAGAGCTGTCTAACATGGCCCACAGGAAGGGCAACCCAACTTGCTGGCTGGGAGGCAGTCCTAGGAGTGGTGTTTCCCTGCATGTCTCAGCCACTTATCTAAAGCCAAAGGAAGCCGGTGGGAACCAAAGGGAGAGGAAGGAGTGTCCAGTCTACTGGAGTTGCTATAACAAGAACCCTTAAACTAGATAATATATTTAAAAAAGAACTTTATTACTCATAGTTCTGGAGGCTCTGAGCCTCAGGCACTCTATTAAACAGCTTAATACATATCTAAAATTGAGGTCCTCCCACATTCAGTGCCCAGGGAGGGCTTGGTCTCTCAAAGATGGTGCCTTGTTGCTGTGTTGCTGTGTGCTGGGTCACATGGTGGAGAGAAGGCCCTTAGGGCTCTTTTACAAAGGCACTAATCCCATTCTTGGGGGCTGAGTTCTCCTGACCTAGACACCTCCCAAAGGCCCACCTCTTCTTGTCACCACCAAGGGGGCTCGCTTTCGCCTTGGGAGTGGAGACCTATTCAGACCATTAGCAGGAGGCATGGAGGCATCTGGGCCTTCCAGATCCCTCTGGCTGGCGCAGTTCCCATCCTCCCTGCTCCCACAGCTCACAGTACCACACTTTGTTTCAGACCCTGTCTTCCTGGGGATAAATGATTAGCCTACATATCTGTCTCCATGAGCAAAGGGAACAGAGGTGGCAGCCCCAGAGCCCAAATGCCACGTAGCAGCATCTACTGCAGCCTCCAAGTCCAGGTGTCTTATAATGGACCAAAATGAAGGGGACATAAATGCCTCATACACGCGCCTTTTGCAAAGTGCAAAGATATGAGATTACCTAAGGGAGTTCCATAATGGTCTGTTGTGGGTGCTGGAGCATACAGTTCCTCTGGGGCACTCATGTTTTCCAAACTGGGGTACCTGTAGGTTGGCCAGGTGGTAGAGCACATAGATAAGTGTGGCCATGAATTGCCCAGTGAGTATCAGTTGTTGTCCCTACTTTGAGAACACAGTGTGTCAGGTCTTGTCTCAGCACCCCAAATGGATATGGCAGGGGCTTTTGGGGTCACCTCCACATCCCCATGAGGGCTTATCATCCTGCACACTCTTAGGGCACCTTCCTGCATCTTAAGGGGCTTCCTTGGCTGAAGAGTATGCTCAACTTGCACATGAGAAGGCCCGAGGCGCCCTTTGGTGGCCAACAAAGCCCAGTATCTCACTGCCTAGGTGAACTCTGAGGTGTGTTGTCTCAGTTCCCTATCGGGATACTGCTCCAGCTGCCCACAGTGGTGACCTCCTCATGAACACATGTCCTATTCCCTTTCTTCTGTTTCACCTTCCCACTGCCCTCCCCAGCTTTCTGCCCCCTCTTCAAGTAAATTGTTTTGATTTCCATCCTTACCTCAGGACTTACATCTAAGGCAACGGGGGTCTTTCCTGTAGTCCTCCAGCAGACCTGTGGGTGGACAGAAATAGCTTCTGCGATTTACAGCTGAGCAAAAGGAAGCTCAGAGGTCAAAGCCTTGGGTACTGCTCCACCCACTGCTTCCTTACAAAGGGACCTGGGGGGCTGCCCCACCCCCGGCTGACCCTGAGTCTGTGTCTCCCTCAGGAAGGGCGCTGTCTGTTCATCATTCTTCTCATGGCGGTGTACTGGTGCACAGAGGCCCTACCCCTGTCCGTGACCGCGCTGCTGCCCACCGTCCTCTTTCCTTTCACCGGCATCCTGCCCTCGCACAAAGTATGCCCCCAGTACTTCCTGGACACCAACTTCCTCTTCCTCAGTGGTCTAATCATGGCCAGCGCCATCGAGGAGTGGAACCTGCACCGTAGAATCGCCCTCAAGGTCTTGATGCTCGTTGGGGTCCAGCCAGCGAGGTGAGCAGGGCCACAGCCAGCCCCTGGAGGGAGGCAGGGGACCCACCCTTCTCGGGCGGCTTCCGGGTTCAGTCATCAGGGCCTAAGCTCGCCGTTCCCACACCCGGGACTTGCTCATGCTCAGCCCCTGAGGGAGCTCAGGTGTGGGCCAGGCACAGAGCCTAAGGACAGCCCAGAGAGGGGGTCAAGATGCTGACCCCAGCCCAGTAGGCCCAGAAAGATGCTTCTGGCTAGGGTCAAAGACTTGGTCACTCCTGTGTCCACAGCTTCCCTAAGAATAGGACTGGAAGGTTCTGTGTGGTAGCTTTAGGGCAGTGTGACTGGGCTGCTTGGGCTGTTGAAAGTGACTTTGGCCTGTGAATAGCAACGTCCCAGTACTTGCCTCATGGAGGCAGTGTGAAGGTGACAGGCGGAATTCAGCAGCTCGCCATAAGAGGTGGCTGGCCACAGTTATCATCCTTGGGTGCTACCCATCTGTCCAGGTGAGGGGGCTGGGGGTGTCGGGAGATGCAGAGGGGCTGCGAGGATGGCCTTGGAGAGAGAAAGGCAGCCAACACCCAAGGCTACAAGGCCTCAGGCTCCCTGGCTGGGACTTGAACTTTTATTCTCAAAGGATTGGGCATCTGTCCTTCAGGCCTGGCTGTGCTGGGTGCTGGTGAGGAGCCCAGGGCACGAGCAGGGAATGAGAGGAGATGCGAAGGAGGCTGAGACAGGCAAGGCCAGATGGCAGGATGCCCCCGGGCCTCAGCTGTCATCCTGAAGCCAGTGCCGTGGAGGATTTGGGGGCCAGGGAGAGAAGATGTCCAGCTTGGCTTGGCTTTGGAATGATCTGCCCTTGGGCCCCCGTGGTCAGGGCACTTGAGCACACCGAGCCGGGCGTTCCTTTGATCCAGGATAGCCCGCAGTACTGGATCCCACCCTGCTGCTAACTTGTCTTCTCTGGGTCTATCTAAAATGAACAAGTTGGATTCCTCAGCAAAGAGAAAATGGGGCCGGAGGACCTCCTGGGCCAGGGTGCTGGGTTCACCTCTCACCCCCCTCTGTCGCGTAGGCTTATCCTGGGCATGATGGTGACCACCTCGTTCATGTCCATGTGGCTGAGCAACACGGCCTCCACTGCCATGATGCTGCCCATTGCCAGTGCCATTCTGAAGAGCCTCTTCGGGCAGAAGGAGCCTCGGAAGGACCTGAGCAGGGAGAGTGAAGAGAACAGAGGTGAGGCTGTGCAAGGTCCCAGGGTCCACTCCGGGGGGGAGCAGGGATACTGGCCAAGGACAGGGAAAGAAACACTTCCTGGGCACCGACTGTGTGCCAAGTATTTCAGTAGTCATAATAATAATGAAAATAATAACAATTAGATTTTAAGTCAGATACCATGATTTTCAAATTTTGGATTTACTGAGCATTTACTATGTACTAGGCGACCAGTTAGGCATTTCACATATGTTGATTCTTTTAACACACAAGATAGCCCTTTGGAATAGACATTATAATTAAAATTTGTTTGAAAGCATTTTAACGGGTGCTCAGTATCACCAACACCCAGGGAAATGTCAAATGAAACAATGAGATTTAAACCAGTGAGCTAGCCAAGGTAAGAAAGTTGGAGGTATTAGGGAGCTTTCTCTTGCTGTGCCCAAAATAACCGACATGCTCATTCCAAAGGAGGGAGGGGTCATGTGGGCTCACAGGTTTGGAGCTTTCAGCCCATGGTGGGGCTTGGTGCCAAGGTAGGGACACTGTAGCAGAAGGGCGTGGGGAAGAAAGGATATCGCCTCAAGGCAGCCAAGAAGCAGAGAGAGAGAGAGAGAGAGAGAGAGAGAGACAGACAGACAGACAGACAGACAGACAGAGACAGACAGAGAGACAGAGAGACAGAGAAGAGAGACAGAGACAGACAAAGACTGAGAGACAGACAGAGAGACAGAAACAGAGACAGAGACAGACAGATTAGACAAGCCAGAGAGAAGGGCTGGGGCAGTATTTGCTCCCCACAGGCTGCCCCCAGTGACCTACTCCCTTCTTCTGGTGCCACCTCCTCTGAGCCCATTCAGCTATGCCCTCACCCACTGATGAGTCCGGTGTCCTGCGATCCAGCCAGCGCTCCAGGCCTCACCCGAGAGCACTGCTGCGCCGGGACAGCCCTCTGCACCTGAGTCTCAGGGGAATGCTTCATATGTAAACCATAACACTGGCTAATGCCCAGTGGCAGCAGGAGCAGGGGCTGTGGGAACTCTTCATGCATTGGTGGGGAGTGTGTGGTCCACGACAGGCTTTCTTACGGGTGCCTGCACGCATTTAATCCAGTGACGTGTGCTCGTGGCCTGTGAACTAGCAATTTTGCTTCTGGATGAAAATGCTTGAGAAATTCAAAAAAATAAATAAACGAATGAACAAGAGGAGAGACAAGTGGTGACATTCACATTCTCTCTGGGTTGAGAATTGGTGGTCATGTGGACACCATTCCTGGGAAAGGATGAAGGGGAAGCACACACTGAGCACCATGCTACTCTTTTTTTTTTTTTTAAGGGTTTTTTTTTAAAATTATATATATATATGCGTGTGTGTGTGTGTGTGTGTGTGTGTGTGGCCAGCTCAGCCCACCAGGGGGCGGGGCTGGCTGGCATGTGGTGCTGGGGGATTGAACCGCGGTCCCTGTGCTTTATTAAGCTTGTTCCAAGTAGGTGCCTTAGACCACTGAGCCATCTCACCAGCCCCCATGCTACTCTTAAGAGACAAGAAATAGAGGGCCTGGGGAGATAGCTCCATAGTCTAAGTGCCTGTCTGCAAAGTGTGAGGACCAGAGTTTGATCCCCAGTACCGCCATGTGGGCCCCAGAACCCCAGGTGTGCCGTGCCGGCTACCGAAACCAGGTGTGGCGGCACATGCCTGTAATCCTAGCTCTGGGGAGGCTGAGACAGGAGGATCACTGTGGGTCCAAGCTGCATAGTGAGACCCTGTATCAAAGAAATAAATAAATAAATTTTAAAAAATGAAAATAAAAAGAATTAGCAAGCCAAATAGTTACAAAAATGCCTCTTACAAAACCATGACTGTGGTTGAGGAGAAACCGGAATGAGATCTAGCACACAATAGCAACATATGGCTGTGCATATTCACACACAAATGGCAACACACTTTGCAAGAACACACACACACACACACACACACACACACACACTCAAAAAGAAAAGCTACAGGTAGATTCCTTTCAAAGCCTCCCTGAGCCCGTCGACTAGACAAGATGAGCAAAGCTCACCCTCCTGAGCTGAAAAAATTTATGGACAAGAAGTTATCATTGAAATTGAATGGTGGCAGACATGTCCAAAGAATATTGCAAGGATTTGATCCCTTCATGAATCTTGTGATAGATGAATGTGTGGAGATGGCAACTGGTGGGCAACAGAACAACATTGGAATGGTGGTAATACGAGGAAATAATATCATCATGTTGGAAGCCTTGGAACGAGTTTAAATAATGACTGCTCGGCAGAAAAATTCATGCCCCTCCTCCAAGTGCTACTTTCAGTGACTGAAGATTGGGTCATACACATTTTCATATATTAAATTTTTGTTAAATAAACTTTTGTAATAGTCAAAAAAAAAAAAAAAAAAGAAAAGCTACATATTGAACACATCTGAAAGCTGCTATGGGAAGTGGTAGTAGGGAAAATGGGGCCAGGAAGAACTGAAATAAATACAAAAATAACCTTAAAGGGGATCTTGTGTAGCCAGTAGTGATAATGCGCCATGACCTGAAAGTCCCAGTTCCTTGACCCTCTGAAATTGTGCTTGTAGAAAAACAAAACCCAAGTAGCCGCCGTGTTTTTAGATGTCAATGTAAGGGTCCGTGTGAAGGCCCCGCGAGAGGAGGTGACTCACTTTCCCAGGTCAGACAGCAGGCAGGGGGCTGAGCCAGACCTTGAACCCAAGTTATGTGATTCCAGAGCTCGTTTGTTATGGATGAATCCAGCAGTATTGGTGAGAATGCTTTCATCTGCAAGTAAAGAAAGCTTGTCTTCAGGTAGCTTAAAAATAGGCATTTTCTTCAGGTATTAGGAAGGCAGAGTAGAATAAGGGCCTGCCTGGCAATCACAGGGTCCTGAGTTCAATCCCTGGTACCACAAACAAACAAACACCCCCAAAAACAAATGCCCCACAGGGGCAGACTGGTTAAACAAATCACAGTGCACCCGGTGCATATGCTGGAATAATTCCCACAAACAGTCCAGCCACAGGAGCTGTGGGCTGGCTCGGGCAGCCTGGCTGAATGGCCTCCTTAACTAAGAGCAGGAAGGAGAAGGCTGCAGGTAAACTCTAACACAGTACACATGTTTGTTATTACTTTTTTTGGTGGAACCAGGGATTGAACTCAGGCTCTTGCACTTGCCAGGGAAGCGCTTATTCCACTGAGCCATCTCCCCAGTCCTGCTATTACTTTCATTACCTTTATCAGTAATTAGGAGGTTCATAGATGATGCCATTTGTTGATCTCCTCTTTCATGGAGAAATGCCTTGTGTGTCTATGGCCTTAGTATGTCAAAGACAAAAATATTTCTAACCTAGCAAAGTTACCCTTTGTATTGGCATTTGCTTTGCTTTTGAAGGTTATACTGCATATCATAAAGAGAGATTTGGGGCCAAAAAAAAAAGTCAGAGAGAGGCCATTCCAGGAGCAATTCAGATTCACAACAATATCTATTGTTAACAACTGTTATTCTTTTGGTCTTTCTCTCATGAGACTGGGTGTTATTACATATCCTGGCTGGCTTCGAACTCATGATGGAGCCCAGGCTGGCCCAGAACTTGGGCACTCCTCCTGTCTCAGCCTCCAAAGTGTGGGCATTACAGGGATGCATCACCATGCCCAGCTAAAATGTTTCACTTTTGATTGTTTTTAATGTGCTTTTAAGGGAAGCTGTAAACCATGCATATGTGGGCAGAGGCCTTCAGCTTATCCCAGCATCACTTCTTTTGCTGTTTTAGTAATAGAACCCCCACATGGTCACATGGCCGCATGGAGAAGGCAGAATTTCCCAGCCTCCCTTGCAATTGGCAGAATTTCTTAGCCTCCCTTGCAATTGGCAGAATTTCCCAGCCTCCCTTGCAACTGGCAGAATTTCCCAGCCTCCCTTGCAACCGGCTGACATTTGGTCAAGGGGACCTAAGTGGAAAGGATGTGTGTAATTTTCTACTTCCATCTTCCCTGGTGTTACCTTCCTGTGTGTGGGTGCGAATACAGTGGTGGCAGTGAGAGATGCCACCAGACTTGCAAATGCAAGCTGCATCTTAAGACGGATGGCACATCTGTCCTATTTGCTTTGCTCATTTGCTTTAAACAAATATGAGCCTCAGACCATCCATGTTTGTGTGCTAGCTATGCTCTTTTCAAACATGAGTGGTGCTAAAAAATACAGTGACTGTTTAAATGTTAAAATGCATCACAGTGATGATGCATTGCTACCAATACATTTTCAAAATAATACCCTTCAAAATAGTGCCCCTCACTCTGAACACAACCTAGAGTTCTTGCCTCTTCCTGAAGTCTTCTTTCATGAGTGTGTGTGTGTTTGTGTGTATATGTGTACTGAGACCCTGTAGACTCTGTAGACCCTGTACTAAATACATTTTTTTTAAAAAAGTTCAGTATTGATAGTATTGATCTGTGTCCCCTCCAGGTGGATGTCACCTGCTGACAATGGATGAGTATCACGCACTAAAGGGTCCTGCTTACTTTATTTCTGCGACCTCCCTGACACTTAGAAATGACATAGGTGCATAACAGCTGAGATCTGAGCGGTGAAATACTATGTCCAGGATCTCATTTGTTGGTGAGGGAGCAGAGTTGGGATCTCCACAAGGGCAAAGTCCTCCTGATGGAAAGAGAGAGGTGCTGTGTGGCAGGGCTTGCAGATGTTCCCTGTAAATAACACACAGTAAATATTTTGGGTTTGTGGGTCACTCGGGTGCCACTACTCACTCTGCCCTGGAAGACAGTGGCAGAGTCCCAGTGGGCATGGTTGTGTGGCAGTAGAGTGCTATTTATGGGTGCCAAAATGGAGACGTGGCTTTCCCCAGCATATTATCCCTGGATCGCTCTTCTCCTCCATCTACACAAGGAAAATCCATTTTTAGCTGATGGGCCGCACCAAACAGGTAACAGTTGATTCCAGTTGCAAACTGTGGCTCCCCAGCCCCCGTGCTGCCCTGTCCCA